AAACCGCGATAGTTATACTACTACGTCAAGAAAGTACCGAGAAAAGATCAATAATACACAAACTGTTTGTTATTTATCCACATTTATTTTATCACCGTTAAAGTATGCTCCTTCAGAAACGATACACTTATGCCAACGAATAATTCAATCATTAAAGCATTTTTTAAACGCTGTTTCCGGAACTGAATTCAGTTCTCGACGCGAATTCTCCTTTATGTCTTCTACCGATTGAAAACAGGTGCCACGAAGGGGTGATTCGAGTTTAGTAAAAGAAGTCGACTGGAGCCATATCTGGTGAATATGGTGACTTCTCGATGTTATTTCTTGTGTTTGCCTGAAAATTTGTTTACAATGTCGCCTTATGCGAAGGCGCATTATCTTGGATGGTGCAAAATCCAAGAAATTTATTTTCTCAAATCAGGCCTTTTCCGTCAAATTTGCTCTCTTAAACGCCGCATAACGCTCAAATCATATTCCTTATTTACCATTTGGCCTTCCGGCAAGAATTTCGAGTGCACAACATCACGATAGTCAAGTTTTTTTGCCATCCCGAGGAGGATCTAGTCAAGAAGAGCTGCATTCTTCTCGACTCTTATAGAGCAATTGGTCTCTCTTATTCAATAATAAATCTTATAACATTCGATTAAGTTTAAATATGTGTACGACGTCTAGCAAATCTTACGAACTAACCAACATCAATAAACGGAGCAGTTTCATTTTATAGCTCATCTCTTTATTAGCATGTAAATTGTTTAGCGGTAGTTATTTGTAACTGCAAATAGCATTCCATTATTCGCACAAGATGTTGGTAACGACAGTGTTCATTAAGAAAATCTAAAATAACGTCTTTATGCCTACGATTACCTTTGGACAAACCAAAGAAAGAAGAGCTATTAAATTATAGTCATACTCTGGATGTGACTTGATAAGTTGGTTTTTTTCAGAAAAAAATAATATAATATAGGAAGTTTGAATGTAGCGCTAGCAATAGAAAGAAAAAGGAGTAACAGATTATCAATTGTTGTATGGACATGTGATGAGAAGGTATGATTAAAATATAACAAAAAACGTTGAAATGGAAATGTAAAGAGAATGATGTAAGAAAAGATGGATAAACTGTGTGAAATATGATATGTGTAAGAAACGACTGTAATTTAAGATGACGATTTATCGAGAAATAGAGAAGAATTCTTCTTCTACATATTGCGCCCACCCCAAACAAAGAAAAGGATAGATGATAATGATGATAGTTCACTAAGCAATTAGTAAGCAGATTGTGACTAAAAAATAAGTGACTTCAGCAATTTCCAGAAATGTATTTTTTTTATGTTTATTTTAATTGATTAGATCAAGCCTTACGGTGACGTTAAATGATAAACAATCTTCCATACAGCTGAAAAGGAAACTAAATATATACAGTATATACAGAAGCACGACAAAACAACCAAGTTGATTGCAGATAAAAAGAATAGACATAGAAATACGAGTATAATAAGAAAAATCTGTGGAATGACGGAGTCTTGCGCTTGGCTTCAATAACGTTAACAGATTTTCCGTTTCGTTAAAATAATTACGCCGCGCAGATCGGTTATTAGTATAGCCTTTATTACATTAAGCTATACCCACAAGAAAGGAACTTGTTACGCTACATAAATAAAAGTATTTAGAAAATCATTATTTTTATAGATAGAGAGTAGAGTGATTTACAATTATAGAGTAAATAAAATGCTAAATCATATATTCAATATTATTGCTTTTTATTAAAAAATGATGACAATCTGAAATCGCGATGTAAAAAGGATTATTAAAAATACTTTTTTAATATTATAATTGGAAAAATTAGACTAATCGTCTACAAGAAACTGGATCCGTTAATCCTGTAAATAGCACAGTAGTTACATATATGTTGACCGGTCACGTTCTAGGTAACGAGAGCCCTATGAAATGCAGCATAATGCCTTGTTTGCTATTATATAAACAGTTGAACTATAAGATACTCTATGGATTTTTAATGCGTCACTTATGTAATCGAAAAACTCTTTGGACTAATATCAATTCATTATCTTCTTATTTCAACTGCTGGTTGTTTCCACGAGTTCGTAACACAGAACAGAAAAAGTTCATATTTTGCATACAAGAGTGTGCTTCAAAACTCAACATATTCTGAATTCCCAGGCACCCTGAGATAGGAGGACAAAGTGGATTTTTCATTATGAATATTTTTTAGTATGAGATTGTGAATGCAAAGTTGTTCAAATATAATAATCAGAACATTTTTTCATCTTTATCGGAAGTTTAAATATTTGTAAAAATATTTCTTTCGGCTGTTTGGGTGGATTGCCTGAGCATTGATGTAAACACACTCTGTAAAAAGCGAAAAGCGAAAAAGTTACAAGTGCCATAATACGTCAATCGTGCTAGGTCCTGAATATCTCAGTGGTTAGACCAGCCACCCGGATTGCGTAAGGTCATCATGGGTTCGTGTCTCATCTCAAAGTGCCAGGGAAAAAGCATTTTTCATTAAGAATAAGTTGTTTTTAGATAGTTTGTTTTTTTTCAGCGATTTAGATTTTTATTACACTACAATGTATGTATTTTTTTTAAATAAGAGGTTTTGGTTTATTTTTAAATCTACGTGAGTATAACTTATGCAGTGTCTAGCTCGCTCGGCCTGCGATACGGTTGTTAAGCAACTTTTACAATGGCCGGTTATATGAGGGGTGATCAAAAATTTACTCTCTCGAACTCCTCCATACTTCGGAAGGCACGTTAAGCCGCTGATCCCGGCTGTATCTACAGTCGGTAACGCACCAATCACACTGAGCCCGCGTGTATCATAGCTCATTATCCCTAGTTGATTCGATTCCATCCATAGGCACGGCCTATGCCCCAGCAGCTGGAGATTAATAGGCTGGTGATAAGTATAATTTATTGTGATGATGATCCTTAACACCACCATGATTGATGGATGCTAACAACTGCAGATGGAAACGGGATAAACGGCTTGTAATGTGCAAGGGTACTAGAGATATATTATATATCGTACATTTTGGTTAGCAATCCTGCGAATGTTGCTTGCTTTAGCCAACGCTAACCAAAAACTAACTGCGCCAACGAAACCTTCAAATCAAAATTAGATAACTAAATAAACACTGAAATGATAAATGCGTTAATCTATACAATAATGGACGAATCACTTCAAAGACGATGTGATAAACAGAAAATTGTGGACTCAGGTGTATATCATTAGAATCGTTTGATATGTAACATGAATTTAAAGGTAAAAAAAATATCTGGGCATTACTTCAATTATTTATGTAATTTAAAACAATTTTTTTCAGACGTATTTCAAATAAACGGAATCTTACGGTTGCTATGAACTCTTACGGTTGCATTACTGAGGTACCGACTTCGTTCCTGATTAGGTCGATGTAGAAACTTGATATCGGAGCAACTTATGAGATGTTTAATATTTATTACTAGGAAATAAGCTGTTGAAAATCCCTGAGGATGAGTAAGCAAATTCCTTTTTTCAGTATTTTCATCGGATGCAGCATTGGATTGATGTAAATTAAATAATTTGAAAAGATATAATAAAACTAATAACTTTGCTCAGTATTTTGTTTTCTAAAAACTTAAACCTCCTAAATAGTAATATCTAACGATAATGCACTCTGTAAAAATGAATATTGAGAGTCATTTGCTAACGTACAACCAGTTAGATACAGCGATAAGCCAATCGGGGTATATTTGAATCAATTCGCCCACAAACCATACCCCGACGGCTCACTCTATTTTTGTTCGCGGTTAAGTTTTGCTGAAATTATTAATAAATTTGCGAACGCACGCAACCGCTGTTGTACAATAATCGATAAGCCAGTGAAATACCTAAACAATGAGCTTTTGTGAGATGACACTGTGTCAGGGAAGATTTCTTGATACAGAAACTCGAATTTAAAGTCTTAATAACCTTACTGGAAGACCCTATACTGAGAAGAACCGTCAATAAGATCAGCAAGGACTTCATTCTTTGCAATATAATATTTTACACATTAGTATTCACTGCTACTTTTTGCTTCCGTAAGTATAATTTATATAATTAATTATTAACTTTTTGATAATTGGCAGATCTGTACTTGTTATTGAATGACAATTGTTTGGTTAGGTTAACCATTTGTTACAAGTTGTCAATACTGCTAGAAATTGTCTAGAAAGCTTTCCAACCATAAAGTTCCAGCCTGATCATGAGCTATCACATACGTAAAGTGGTTTCATAGTTCATTACTAGTTTATAGATGATTAAATAATTACCGGTGATTATTACAGCCATTTGGCAGTTCAAAGAAATCTAATAAAAATATTAAACATCTCATGTCAAACTCGTATAAAAATTAAAATATATTTACTGATTTAAATGTTTCCATAAAAAAATAACAAAAATAAACAAAATATTTTAGCATAAAGAATAAGTGAAACTTGGTTTTAATCGACTCTACGAACGAATAGATTTGCGAACTCGGCGTTGTCAACAACAGGGCACGGCAAGCTGTCACGCGAGTGCGACACGCTGCTAATCCACTGTGGGAATTATTTTTATAAAGTCAAATTATGCTTAATAGTCTTGTAAACATTTTAGATACCTAAAGTCATCTTGAACTACTTTAACAAAATCGTAAGCTAAGTGAACTTATGCTTCTGATTTCAGAAATCTACAGCAGTGCATACATAGGGAGTTTAAGAATTCATTTTAAATGTTATCACTCTAACGCTTGCAGCATGATATTTTTTCAAACTTTTTCAAATGAATCTTTTGATGACGACCTAACAGTTGTGTGACGTATCAAAACAGTACTGTGACGTATCAAAGCACGGGGCCCAGCGTTGCAATCGTCTGCGTATCGTTGCGTAGTTTTTCAGCGCGTCACAGGGTGAGATCGGAAGCGAAGGTTGCGCCCGTGACCGCGCCCGCCCGCCGCGTGTCGTCCGCTCGTCGGCGTCGCGCAGTATCGCGTCGCGCTCGCTACTCCTCGGTCCTCGACCCGGGAGGCTCGTACGTGATACAGACCTCGACAGGTCACCGCTCAAGTGCATCCACACCGCGAGTGATGTGTCCCCGCTGACATGTGCAAACGGCGAGTGAGTGTAGTGAAATGCGCGAGAGGTGATAGTCGCTGTTGGCCCACCAGACCTTAGCTATGTGGACTTTCTTAATCCCCATATTGGCCCTCGTCGAGCTAGGCGGTGGGGCCACTTTCGCACCCAATAAGGAACTTCTCGAATGCGCAAGGTTCGTTTAGAATCATGTTTACTACACAGATACACCGGAATATTTCCGGAATCAACTTTCCTATTGTGTTTCGTTCTGGGACCTAAGACGAGCTACAAAAATAATTTAGATGGCCAACCGTCTGGGCGTCTGGTTTACTATAACAATTATTTTATCTGTGTCACGATCGGCGGCTGCGAAAACATCTCACGTTAATTGGATTGGGTATTTTTGAATTCAATATTAAGCCGTTTGGCGGCAGTAGCTTCCATTTTAGATAAAAATAAATAAACATTAAACAACATCACATTTAATTAATTAAATTTTTATTGAGAGTACTTAAACGTTTATTAATTAAATATTCAGTATGAAAATTACTGAAAAAAAATATATTGGATGAATACACTTCATCCAATGAATGTAATATTTATCGAAACATGAATTTGCCCATGTCATTTTTTAAATAGAAAATTTACTGTAAAATTTTGCAGCCATTATCGTACTGTAACATCAATGTAGTATTTATAAATAAGCCATGCATCGCAGACCGCTCAACTGGCAGGGTCGACGATTTTGGGCAGGCGCACCGCACGGTCGCACATTTTGGCAACCATAATTGTTTTTGGTAATTTAAACATCAAGAAATGCAACAAATATAAAACCACATATTTTACGTTACATACTAATCATAATAATTTCTTTACATCTTAATGATAGTTATTGGAAATATAAAAATATCATATTTATTCAATTATTAAGATAACAAGACTAGTGTGTTTACTATGAAAATTCTAAAAACTAAATATTGTAATTCTTTATCTAATAAAATACTTTATATAAATCATTATCAATTAATGTTCTTATCATACACAACACAAAAATTCTTCAAACTAGTTTTTTTTTATATGTATGTATAATACGACGATATACTTATATAAGTGCATGTCAGTATACAAAATTTACCATCCTATTCGTTACACTAAATCATATCGTTCTTTTTGCTTTCTTTTGAATCAGCTACTATCGGAGATAAAAATCAAATAATATATATGTCAATAAACAACTTCGTTACTGATTACGAGAATACATTTTTTGTGAATATTCCTACAGTTTTTTACTATAATTTAAATAAGCAAGACAACGTTAATCAATATTGTAATAAAATAATAAATATTATTTTATTGAATATGGCAATTTTTTTCCTGTAAAATAATAGAATATTTCTATATAGAATAATATATTTATGTATTACATCTGTATGTGTTATTTTTTTACTAAAGTTTATGCACGGTTGCTGATAAAGATTAGTTTTAGAGGCTTAACAATAATAATATAACAGTGTACACTGAGAATAATTTTGATGGTAGAACAATAAATAATACGCTACATGTTTTAAGGATACATATTATGAACCTGTATTTTTTATTATCCTAAATAAAACAATATAAAATAAAATATACATATAAAATTAAAATCTTAAAAGGTGACTTAAATCGCATTATTCGAAACTACCCGTTTCTTAACTGCTTCTCTTTCCCCTATATTAGGTAACGTAATATAAAATAATAAATATTACAGAATAACACATGCTATGTTACTCAGATAGGAAGTTGGGCAGCTTCGGCTCGATGAAAGGCGCTCTAGGCTTAAACACTTTAATGACGTCCATAAAAAAATCATCACAAAATAAAAGACTAATATTTGATCAGTGTAAATTAAATAGTATAATTTTGCTTATGCCAAGAGAAACTCCGTAGGTCAATACCTATAGATAGTGTAGGAATTGATATTATGCAAACGTGGATTCATGGCCAAAGAACTAAAAAGTCAAAATTAAAAGTATTACATGGGTTCAAGTAATACGAGCAAAACCAATGTCATGTCGCCCCCAAACACGAGTTCCTAGGCAGCTGCCTGCTTTGCCTATATGGACGGGCTCACCCTGAAGTTCATTTACTGTATACGCATCCGTTTTCCTGCTGGAGTCAGTACGGGCGGCTGACAATCGCCCGCCCTTTGTTAGCGGGCAGAGTCCCACACACCACTGTCGTCCCGTCAGGCAGCAGTACGTAACACATTTTTCTTGGGTTCATAATTAAGAATAATTTCCCGTATAGCATTATGAATGTATAATTGACCAAATATAATAATTAGAACAAAATTTCCGTCTTTATCGAAAGTTTAAAATATTTGTAAAAATATTTCTATCGGATGTTTGGTGGTGATACAATTCCAGTTCTATTTTAGCTGGAATTGTATCGTATGTCACTTAGTAGAATAGAAAAACCATTAAAAACTGTAGTTTCGTTCGGTTTCGATCCGTTTTCGATTCGATTTAAACAAAATTTAGTAGATTTGGCCCCCAGGGATGAAAATGCGCTTTGTAGTGGTAAAGTATTTGAAAAATTTGTCAGTGCTGTTAGGTCTTGGGAAGCTCTGTGGTTAGAACCGGTCGCCCGGATTACGATTTTCATTAAGGATATTTTCCAGTATAGCATTGTGTATGCAAAATTGACCAAATATAATAATAAAGAAGGTGCTACAACATTATCCGGGGGCAATATTGTTCATTTCCTTGAAGTCGACCCAAAAGTGAACCCATAAAGGAATAGAACCTTGAAACCGGTGTATGATTCACTCATTCACGGAGGAAAAATACATGTGTAAATTACCTATTCTCTTTTGTTGTTTACTTGAGACATTTTGTAAGCACTCTTTAATATCTAGAAAAAACTGGAAGCAACTAGTTGTTGAAATACGGCCTAGTATGACAAACTGATCTATAATAATAAATGTTGACCGTGGAAAATTTGTTTTAGCAGGTAATTGTTATAATAATATGTGAGAATGCACTATAAAAACATTCCAAAGTTAGAAATCTCGTTCTGTTGACATCTTATTTATAGATACTTTATGAAGAATTGGTCATTAATGTTTTATTCGTCTCCGTCTTTTATATTTTTAGTGTGATCTTTAATTTTTAAACAACTTTGAAATTGAAAAGCAAGAATTTATATATTAAGCGGCAATGTACGTTTTTTATTTATGTTCACCGATATTTCCGCGAATTGTTGACCGATTTTCAAAATTCCCTTTTTTTTCTTGGTGCTCGGGTTAATATTTTTATATTTCTATTTGACATAATATTTGGTTTTATTACAAAACCAAATATTATGTCAAATAGATACTTGACAACATTTTTGAAAATAATATATTTTTGATAATAGAAAATAATAAAAGGGTTTATTGCTACTATTTTATTTGTAATTATCAAAATATCTATGTTAAATTATTACGTCTATGTTTTAATATTATTTTTTGGACACTTTCACCCATATAAAAGTAATTAATTAAGCTAATATTTTTAACAATTGTTTAAACATTTAAATGAAACAAGAACTGTTAATAGCACCAAATAGCACGATAACTATTATATTTATTTTTTTTATTAAGAGATTTGGTTACCAAGGTCATCAGCTTAATCCTTTAATATACAAAATTGGTACTAAACATTACTACAGTCTTTAAACTAAAAACCCCTTCAAATTATTGTATAAATATTAAATATAATAGGTAGTTAGAGAGAAGAGTCAAACTTGGTATAACAATTTTTGGAAAACGTTTTTTAGAGAATCTATACGTAAATAAATAAAAAGAAGACGCTGCAAGTTACAATATTTACAATTAAAAAATAAATGCACGTAATATCTCTGTACAATATATACACAACGCATTGTCACTTAATCTAACGCGGTGAAGATGGGATGGGAATTTACAATGACGTATTCTTAATATACAAAAATATGTTACGAAATTCTTATTCGGGGTAGTTAATTTCTCAAACCAGGCTTTAGTGGTGTAATAGTTATAATAGTTTTCTTATCATATTACAAGAAAACTATTATTATCAACTATTAACAGTTTTTTTATTTTATTCTTGTCTATTGGTTAAAAATGTCTGCTTAAGTTATGCCATTTTCTCTAGTAATTACTTTTCTCGACTATAGATACAAGTGTTTGTGTATTAAAATCTCGTCGTACGACGAAACCGCATCGTTCCATCGCACGATAATATTCAATTAGAGTTACAGTATAACAACAGACTCATCAAGGCTGCATCAGACAGAACATATGTCTAAACATACCTCAACACAACCGTAGTAAACAAGCAACCACAATAAGACCGTTATACAACAATAGCATCCGAACCGGCCAAAATTAACCCCGTACATCACTATTTGCGTCACTGATACCCCAAATATATCGAGTGCTTCTAACTATGACAACTGAAATAACTGTTCCACATACCGAATGTACAAGTGCGTGTGTCGTATGATGTTGCATAATTATGTGCACTATTTTAACGCATCTATGTTACTCGTCTATGGTATGTCTATGCTATTAATTATTTGAAAGAACACGAGCACCTGTAGGGCGATTCTGTGAAAATTCGAACCCGAATTCGAATTCACTCATGTGTCCGAAAGAAATTCTATTAATTCCATTTTTGCAGAAAATTAATTGATTATGTCAGATATTCTATTCCTATATCATTTCGAAACTCGCTTCAGTTATGCCATGAAACGTAATAACCAATTCATCACCAAAAGTGGCATCCGCTCAATCTTGGATGCCACTTTTTGAAGTGATTTCGCATACTTGACTGGTTTTGAATTTAACACAATTGTAGGGCTGTGATGTTCCTATTCAAATAGATCCACGATACTCTTTTCTCTAATTTTATAATAAGTCAATTATACTTTACAGAGTTAAGTGCTCGTAAGATCGACTTTTAAAATTATGTAATTATGAATGAACTATAATTATACCAAAGTACTTAAATACAGATGTTTATGTTTTTTGTCATTTTAAGGAATTAAAATCTATATACAGGAGAAGACAACTTAATTTCGAGAAGCCATTCGAGCAGAAATATTATAATTACCCAAAAAGAGATTTCTCATTTTAGTTTAATCTCACTAAGCTGTCTTTCTTTAAGGCTCTCTTATACTTCCGCTTAC